ACCTTTTAACATTCTTACTTTCCTTGTATCATATAACCTTTAACATTTCTTACTTTCCTTGTATCATTAACCTTTTAACTATTTCTTACTTTCCTTGTATCATATAACCTTTTAACATTTCTTACTTTCCTTGTATCATATAACCTTTTAACATTTCTTACTTTCCTTGTATCATATAACCTTTTAACATTTCTTACTTTCCTTGTATCATATAACCTTTTAACATTTCTTACTTTCCTTGTATCATTTAACCTTTTAACATTTCTTACTTTCCTTGTATCATTTAACCTTTTAACATTTCTTACTTTTCTGCTTCTTGTATTGTATTGTAGAAGTCAAGCTTTTACCAAAATACATAAAAGAACAACACTTCTCATAATAACTACTACTATGGTTAGTAGCTAATAGTAACTCTTTTGTGACAGCATTTAAATAATAGAAAAAAGATTATGGACTTAAAGCACCAAAATATGGGGTTTGATTCCTTGAGGTGGACAGAATGCAGATAGCCACTAGCTTTGCGTATAAAAAAAAAATGCACTTGACTAAAATTTGTAATATAACTTGGAACTATACTGTATGTTATGAACTTCTAATGTATTTCAGGCGTGTTTATGAAGATCTGGTAATCAAAGGATCCATTGTTCCAAAACCTGAAGTTCCACCTCCAACCGTTCCTATGGATTATAGCTGGGCAAGAGTAAGTTCTTAAACTGTGGATGAATTTTATGATGAAATATTCTTGGTTTATAAACCATCTGAATAAAAAAATTGTGCTTATTTTAAATATTTTGAACACCCTATGTTTGATGAGAAAAAAACATTGTAGCAGGGTTTGTAGCAGTTTTAATATAATTAGTTTTTTTAATTGGATATCGAAAACATAAAAATTGAAGTACGTATCAGTAGATAAAATACCTGCTTAACATATTTAAATATCATTAAAATGTCTCTTGTTTTCAGGAACTTGGATTAATTAGAAAACCTGCTTCCTTCATGACAAGTATTTGTGATGAACGAGGTCAGGAACTTCTATATGCTGGTATTCCCATAACCAAGGTAATCAAAGGAGAACTTGGGATTGGGGGTGTACTTAGTTTGTTGTGGTTTCAACGTCAACTACCCAAGTATGCCTGCAAATTTCTGGAAATGGTACTAATGATTACTGCTGATCATGGTCCAGCTGTTTCTGGAGCTCACAACACCATTGTCTGTGCAAGAGCAGGAAAAGATCTTGTGTCATCACTGGTTTCTGGCTTACTTACAATTGTACGTGAAATTTTTATTATTATTATTCAAACAGTCAAATTTAAGAAATAATTGAAAGAGCATTTACCTCTACATATTGTTGTTCAAATTAGTATTTTAAGAAATAATGTAAGAAATCTGTCGGTTTACTGTAATTTGGAGTGATATCTAGAGCAAAGAATCTCTAGTCTTTATGAGTGTTCTAAGTAACAATCAGTTTTATGCATTATACAAAATTAGTGTTTAACCTTATCTCTCAAAGAAGCACTTCACCATGTTTAGATTAAAACTAAAACTGAGTGTTTTGTATTTAGTATTTGCTCCTCTCCCCCACTCATAAAAGAGGGGTAATATCGTGTACTTTTAAATATTTGGGCATTCTACCAGAAATAGGACACATTTCTCTATTTTTAGCTTAATTTTGCTGTTAATATATCGATAATTTGATATTATCTAATGAATTATAGGGGGATCGATTTGGTGGAGCATTAGATGGAGCAGCAAAACAGTTCTCTCATGGCTACGACAGTGGAATGATTCCCATGGAGTTTGTGAATACGATGAGAAAGAAAGGACAGCTGATCATGGGTATTGGCCACAGAGTAAAGTCGGTATGTGAGTCTAGGATAGTAAAAGCCATAAAAAAATTATCAATATTTGTGAATGAGGTAAAATGCTTGAGATAAATCATGTGGAAGAACACTGTAAAAGTTCAATGCAGTAAAACATTGCTTTATTGGAATTTTCTGGCTTAAAGATCACCTGATGAAACAAAATACATATTTATATAGCGTGTGATTAGTCTATATATGCAAAATATTTTAAAGTTGGATAAATGAGTTTCAAAATTTTCATTATTGGATATCTTAGTGTAAGCTACCTAAATTACGTTTTTATGAAACAGTCACTTTCATTATTGGATATCTTAGTGTAAGCTACCTAAATTACGTTTTTATGAAACAGTCATTTTCATTATTGGATATCTTAGTGTAAGCTACCTAAATTACGTTTTTATGAATAATTGACTGTTTCATAAAAACATAATTTAGGTAGCTTACACTAAGATATCCAATAATGAAAGTGACTGTTTCATAAAAACGTAATTTAGGTAGCTTACACTAAGATATCCAATAATGAAAGTGACTGCATTGTGACGTTAGATTTTACATGCAGTTTAGTGTCTCTGTCATGACATTCAACATTTTATTGTGAACAACACGTAGTGCTGATAACCCAGTAGTATTTGAGAAAGCAAAAATATATTTTTCTACTTTGTTTGTTTTCCATAATATAGAGAAATTCCTTATTATTGTAGAAGGGGACAATAAAATCCCAAACTGTAGCTTTATTATACAGGGATTAAATATGTTAATAGTTAACATCCTAGGAAATAAATTTTACTTATCATTTAAGTATTGTGAATGCCTCTTATGAATAAAGCCATGTTAGGTAAAAGTATTTGAAACATACAAATTGACTCAGCAGATAAAAACTTTGTTTTTTTTCTCTTTATTTTCTCATTGTGTTATCTGTTAGCATTTAATCACTTATTTTCTTATTGTTTTGATGAGAAAAAAAATTAATTAAAAGCAATTATTTCAAAAATAGAATATTTACCATGTAAATTCCCCAAGACAGTTTTAAGTAAACAGTGCAAACTGAGACAAAATACAAAAATAAAAACATTAATATCAGTTTTCAATGTCAATAATAAACTAAATCAGCACATTCATACTAGAAGTTTATTTTTTGAAGAAGTTGCACAATAATCAGTTATATTATAATTTATAACATTTAATATTTAAGTATTTGTATTTTTACCAATGAATCTTAAGGGCTTATTTATATATAATATTAATCATAAAATTGAAAAACTTAAAAGTTCAGTTTTCAATTTTTTGTTACTTTGTGGGATTTTTTAGTGGAATTTTAAGTTTTTTATATATTTTTTCTTATACAACACAGCTGAATAATCCAGACATGAGAGTACAGCTTTTGAAGGAATATGTAAAAGAACATTTCCCAGCAACACCTGTGTTAGACTATGCTCTTGAAGTTGAAAAAATTACAACTTCCAAGGTTAGGTGTATCAGGTCATCTATTTTTTTAACTATTGTTTTGGCATTAAACTTGCATTTTATAAATATGTATCTTCAAGATTATAATATGTTGATGCCATAGATAATCTAATTTAATTCTGCTCCATAAGAATTAAAAACAAAACTGTAACATTCTTCTAAAACACTTCAGGTTAAATGCACTTAAGTACAGGTAAAAAACTGCTCCTTCAAACACTTAACATTTTCAGATCATAAAATATTTTTGATTATAAACAGTGTTATTTAAATCTTTATATCCTAGATAATGTTACACATACTTTACTAAATTCCAAAGTATCCAATCTAAAAATAGCTTTGTTCAAACATGATAGATTTTAGGTATATTTAGATCCTTTTTACACACTTTTTTAGATGTTTATGTTTGTTTGTTTTTTAATAAATTGAATATAATCAGTAGTTTTGTGCTAGTCATAATTTTACATTAATATTAAATGTTGTTGTTTTTGTATAGGTGACTTATAATGCACTACTCTCAAAAAAAATTTTTTTTTCTATTTGGTATAGTGTTACTACTGCTTACTCATGAATGTAATAAATATTTATTAAATTACAAACTGTTTTGATTCTACTGATCAGAAACCGAACTTAATTCTTAACGTGGATGGGGTCACAGCAACAGCAGTGGTGGACTTGCTGAGAAATAGTGGTTGCTTCACTCAAGAAGAAGCACAGGAATACATTGATATTGGAGTTTTGAATGGGCTTTTTGTTCTTGGGCGCTCGATTGGTTTTGTTGGTGAGTGTTTGAAAATCTTCTAAAATTGGTGTGAGTGATTTCAGTCATTATTTTTACTTGCATGTCTTTCAGTTCTAGTTCATTTATTACAGAGGCTTAACATACAGTAATATGGGAATCCATACAGACAGTTTTTGATCAGAACAGAACCAGCAGAAAGAATTCTTCATGGAACAAAAAAAATGAATTATAGGACTTGTTTCACCTGGTGCTTTTTTGTTGTTCCATTTCATACTTGAATCATGTTCTTTAATGCACTTATGCACCTGAATAGTAATTTATTCCATAAGTTTATTGTTCATGATGATGTTGCATGTGACGACAAAGTTGTAGGGAAATTTTTTTCTTAAATTCTGAATTTTTCACAGTGGCAAAAATTTTCTACTCCCACCTATACAGTAACTGTTTAATACAGTTTCATTTCATATAATTAATACTTAAAACCATCAAAACTTGGTGAAGCTCCATAATTAGGGAATTAAGGAAAAGAAATACATATTTTTCATTTATTATGACCATGGGTTTTCCAGTAAAAGCATCTTCTGTGCTTTTACTGGCAAAACCATGACCGTGATAAATGAAATATATGTGAAACATACAATTGTCTTTGTTTTACTCAATTCTGTTTCATTTTATGTCAAAAATAACTGTGTAAAAGATATGAGTAAGAGCAGTCATCAGTTTTTACAGCTCCCACTAAAATAATCACTTGTGGTGAGTTGTTCAAACTCGTGTAAATAATCAGAATCAAGCCCCACAAAGTCGTTTCTGTGCCCCTATATTATGTTGTTTTTTTTAACTGTTCAAAGCATAGGAATATTAGTCCAATTTTATAAGACAAAATAGATTTGTTTCATGACTTGCATTTTGAAGAAAAAAAAAATATTCTTAAGTCAGTCATACTGCATAATGTATACCTACCTATAACAGCAGTTACCTTAGGAACTAAGACAAAGAAACTTTTTTTTGGTTTGTGAGGCAGTTTGAGGCCAGCAAAGTTGAGGTTAAGCTGAATAGACAATGTACCCCTAATGCAATTTGGATCTTACTTCTGCCAGTACCTCTAAAACCAGGACACATTACATGATGACCCAACTTATGAATTGTGCCCCAGTATTGGATGTTTGTATTGTGACTCCGATTTATTTTTTTCCTTCTCTCTCATGAATTTACATTTAATTGTATGTCATCTAAGGTTTGGATATGTTGCGTAAGATTCACGTTATCCTTCTCTATAATGTATTATCTTCTTTAATTTTTAGCTTTTCTAAATAAATATATATATATTATTTTATTTACAATTTTATTATGAAAGTGATCTATTAAAGACACTACTTAAATGATTTTTTTTTTGTCTTTGTTGTGTTTTAGGACATTACTTAGATCAACGTCGACTGAAGCAAGGGTTGTACCGTCACCCATGGGATGATATCTCATACGTTTTACCAGAATCCCTCATGGATAACAGATAAAACCATTTTGTCTCTCATTTCCTTAAAGTTATGAGGATTACACAAAAGATAAAAGGAAATGAAATAAATAAAAAATTATCTGTAGACATATATATAAATGAACATATCTGTGTATGGGTGAAAATTCTAAATGGTAACTGGTGTTTGCTTATAGTACACTGTAATAAAAGAATATTTACGTATTCCTTTAAAATTAAATTTTTATCCTTGTCTAAAATTTAGTGTAGTTTATAGAACTAAAGAATAAATACCATAAAAACTGGTATACACAAACCTAAAAGACCAGAACACCACGAAAGACACTAATTTTGTTAATGTCTAATACGTGTCTTGCATAACTTTTTTTTCTTATCAGTCTGCTTACTGTATGTTAAATTTATGTTCCTTCTGTTAGATCTTAAATTTGCACAAATTACATTCCTTACCTCCGCTGTTCTTACTTTAGTGAGTGCTTAATACAAAAATTGTGTTTATATACTTCATACAGTTTGATGGTAGTTTTGACAGTCGTTTGGATGTAGAACATCAAATTTATACATGTTTGTTATTTTTTTTAGTAAAGTCTTTCATTTTATTGTTTTGTAAAAGCAACCAATTAAACACATGAATGGAATAAATTTTAATGGATTTCAATTTGGTAGGAAAATAAAGAATAAAGCATATTGAGCACTTTTTGTCTCTCAGTATTTATATCTGACATGCTCCAGAATTTCAAGTAATATTATAGATATCTATGTTATTAAAAACATGATTTCTGTAAAAATCATTTGTTTATTGTCAAATGAACTCAGCCTTTTTAAGAAACTGACATCTTTTCTGAAAAGTGTTGTATTGTGCTAATTCCTAGTGTCTCTGGAGTTGATCAGGATGCTGTTTATAAAGCCCTCTTTATTTCAAAACTACTGAAAGAGTTCATTCAGAATTAACATAATTTTTTATTTGGAGAAGTTAAGCTTCATACAGTATTTAACTACAGTTAAACCTACTTATATCACTGACATGCATACACCTAGTAACTTTGAATAAGTCCATTGCAATTTTTTTTAAGCTAGTTTCTATAAGTTATCAAAATTTTTGTTATATAATTTTCAGATGTATAATCTTTTTTTTTTCCTTTTTCTTGGTCAATTAATCAATATTATTATTTTTTCTCTTTATGCTAAAATTCAGTCTTTACCCACTCTTTAAGCTAAAATGGAATCATAGAAGGGCATTTCAAATGTGGTTGCTAAGTGAAGTTTAATCTACAGAATTGACATGCTCCTTGAAAAGGTTAACAAAACTAAAAGGAGAATATACCTAAACTGAACCTGAGGTATAAGAGCGGACCAAGATACATTGGAGCACCAACAACAGGGAGGGAAACTAGTTAGGTAAATAAGGAAAAGAGAAAACAACAGAAATATCAAAAGGAATACTGAGTATGAAGTGGCATTCAATAAAGTTGCCACAGAGAAATATCAAGTTTTTCAAAAAAAAAAGATTAAATTAGCAAACTGACTTAGAGAGATGCATTAAAGTAAAAAGTAAAGTCTGAGTTAAAGCATGACTAGAAGATGAGAAAACAAGAGAAAAGTGGTCTGTGTGGAGAACAAAGTCTTAATAGATGAGCGAACCATTGGACTTGACAGGAGGGAAAGTAGGATTATGGTATTGATGTTGATGTAACTGAACTTATATAAGAATTATGTTGGTTACATATTTAATTGAAGAAATGGAAGATTGAACATGAGACATCTCAGCCTTATATTGGAAAGATCCAACACAGAACCCAAAAAAGAGAAAAGGCTCATGATAATTTTTCAAAATTAAAATGAGTTTAAAGAAGCCAGTCGTTCAACCAATAGTCTTGGAAGGTATTCTGAACAGATGACAAGATTCAAAACCAACAATATGGAAATAAGATAGAATATCATCAGGACAAATATTAGTGTCACACTTATGAAAGAAAGCAGTGAACAGACTTTTGTAACTGGCAGATGCATGATATGGCAATCAGAGTTGTTGTTTTTTTTTGTTTGTTTTTTTTTGACAGAATGTCATGATTATTGTCTTCTTAAGAGGAATGAAGAACAAGAATACCACTCGCAATATGTTGATGAGAGCAAAAAGGTTGAAGAGGAACACCTGGCTGAGCTTTAAAAGTCAAGTTTAAACTTGCTAGGTCTGATACAGTTGCCTAAGAACGTCTTTCAATTAGGTTATAGTTTTTACAGACAGTAGAAAAAAAACCGCAAGACGTGAAAAAATATTTAAGAAAAATTAAAAAATGTTGAAATACACGTCTATAACAAAACTTTTATTATTATTATTATTATTTGCAATGTTTCGGACAGAAGCCCTTCGTCAGGCAGTATAAACCGTGTTGCATGAAAAAAAAAGGCTTAGACAAAATCATTGAAGGTTTAGAATATACAGAGATTTTAAATTGCATACGTACTGTGTGGAATATGTTAACAATATATTTTTAGAAAGAACATTGTTAAAATAGGAAACTAATATTAATGGTTTATTAAGTGATTACAGCGTCTGTTAATATCTCTTTGCCACTTCTGTTAACTTGACACCACCTACTATTATTATTAAATTACTGTTTTGTCGTTTTTCGAATTTATGTTTATGTGCCCTTTTAATCTCAATCACTTTAATATTCGTTTCCATGTAAAACTATTTATACAAACGCTTCAACAATGTTTCTTTTAAGAATATTTTGTTAACGTGCTCCACGCAGTACCTATGTAATTTAGAATCTAACCTATATATATAAAAGCCAATGTGTGTCACGTCACGCTTGATTTATCGAAATAGGGGTCATAAAAGCCAAAATGCATTTATCCAGATAGAATGACCAGGAAGTTAGAGCGCTCGACTCGTAATCTGAGGGTCACAGGTTCGAATCCCTGCCCCACCAAACATTCTCACTCTTTCAGCCGTGGGGGCGTTATAATGTGACGGTCAATCCAGCTATTTGTTGGTAACAGAGTAGTCCAAGAACTGACGGTGGGTGGTAATGACTAGCTGCCTTCTCTCTAGTCTAACACTTCTAAATTAGGGACGGATAGCGCAGATAGCCCTCATGTAGCTTTGCGCGAAATTCACAACAAACCAGATAGAATGGCTTGATTGCTGTCTGCCCATTACGATTTTAGTGACGGGGGTGCCGTGAAACCTTACAAGTGTAGCGAGTGTTAATATAATAAGCCTAAAATAAAGACGTGTGGGATCACCTAGCCTAGAGCCAAGTGCATAAAATTTATCATGAAAGTAAAAATATTGATTTAAATTTTAAACTTAAATCGTTTCCGAATTAAGCTATTTTCTGTTATATCACCAACGTGATATAATTAAG